TTTTCTATCAAAAGATGCTGTAATGATAATACTTTTATTAATTCCAAAGTTTTTCTCTCATATCAACTATTACATACATACTTTCAACCACAATTGACATTTTCACACTATCATGGTAATAGATAGCAAATTATCAATCTCCCCAAGCATATGAAATTATTATTACAAATATTTTTTTTTATTATTTTTAACATTTGAGATGTGGATGTATATTGTGTGCACATTACATGTACAAATAAAAAAAAAGTCATTAGTCTACTTTTTATTGGCATTTTTTCATTGTTGGTACTGGTATCTTCAACACTAACAGTTAATTGTTCAGGAAAAGATGTATTTATTATCTTTTTTAATCAATTGGCTTTCAGATGATGGTGAAATAGGGAGATCATATATTAACAAGTTAGAGAAACATTCAAAATTGTATGTTGAAAAAATAAATATTATTAATATATAGTTTTAACAGAAAAATTAAAGATAAAATTTCTTTATGTTTATTTTGTCACATTCTATTGCAAGTCTGTCTACAGTCAAAGAAATTTTATTTTTTATAATATTTTAGAACTTTCATAATTGAACATTTTTGAACCACTGACTCCTGACTTCTTCACTCTGTATGTGATGAACCCTGTGGTAGACCCATCACCTGTTATTACATTGTTTATAAAAGATATTGTGAAGTAAACAAAGATTCCATTTTTTTTTATTTTTACTAATAAGGATTTTTTGTATATATGATTAAAATTTTGGCTAATTTGAATTTTGTGTATGTGAATTTCAAACTTACATAAATTTAATTTTCATGCACGCACATATACATTAGTCAAATATTTACAATAATAACTCTTTTAAATTAGTGATTCAGAATTCATCTTTACAAAATATTAACATTCCTCAAAAATACACGCGCTGCAATTTCATTTGGTGGTTGAGAAAAGGTTTGGCATATTTAGAAAATCAATTCGGCCAACATATATAGAAATCCATTATAACTCGAATCAGAAAAGAACAATATTATAACAACGGCGCGATAAATTTATTATTTTAAAATGATAAATCACAATTTTTTTTATTATTATTAGTCTCGTGTCACCCACCAAAAAATTAATTATCATCACGCCTGTAAAAGTAAAACAAGGTACGCGTATTCACATATTCACATGGTTGGCGCCTATCACTATGTACAATCATCTGACATGGTGAAGAATCAAAGTCTTGAAATTTTCTCCTCTAATAATGATATCTATCCTTCTTTTACATATCTGACGGAGTATTTTGTTTTCTTTTCATTTGCCTATTAAATTTATTAAAAAACAAAATGGATTTTTTAAGCGTGTAGTGTTCCTTTTTTTATTTCAAACAAAGAATAAGGAAAGGAGCTAGAAATTCATTAACAATATATAAACAAAAGTATCACTTGGTGTGGTCGATTTCGGAGATATTTGCTAATAACCAGAGTTACTATCTTTGTATTGATACGTTATTTTTTTTTATTGCTAAATACAAAACGTGGTTACAGTCTTTTACATTATGACCATCTCTTTTATATAGAATTCTGCACCTTCTTGGACGATTTAGAAACACCAAACAATTTGATACGCAACTTTTGAAACTTATAAATGCTGAAATGTGTTATTAATTCACGCACAAATATTTAAAGCATTGCAATTATTCGCATGTTCCTCGGCGCACATAAGGTTAAACTGACGTGATACCCCGACGTTATGATAATGCAATTAACTTTTAGGGGGGGACGCGTAGCCTTAGAATTTATTGAGATTGCATGTTTTCAAAGAGGCTGTTAAAGCCTCTCACTTATCCAAAGTCTACCAACATGTATGTGGCCGGCATCTGTGGAAACAGTTCCATATCAATTATGGTTTTTTAAATTCTACAGTGATGAGGAGTGCATTGCACATATCTGCATGTTTGCAGTAGGAAATTTCATTTAAATCTGACACCTATGATCAGGGTTGGCGTGGATATTGTCCTGTACTTGTAGATCCAAATCCACCACCATGCTGACAATAATCCACACATAATTTAAGTGTAGGATCAACTACAACATTCGGTCAGGCAACTCCAACTCCACCATCTCGAAATAATAATTAATCATCCCAATCTGATTCCTTAGTTTGCTTCTCTGGACAGGTGCCAATCTAAAATAATAAATATATTTTTTTCAATTACCAAAAACACAAAATTGCAATACATCTTGAGCGTATTGGATAATGTTCAGGATGTTGTCCAATGCCAACCCTGTATATGATCAATATCAGATTTATCATTTTGAAAGTTGCGAAGGAAAATAATTTTTGAAAGATTTGTTTGTTTATCTTGTTATTTTCAAAAATTGGTTCCTTAAAAGGTTTCATTTCTGCATGGTCTTTGTATTATTATTATTTGGACGATGCAATTAATGATTAAGCATTAGATAATCATCACGATAGAGGCAAAAGCATATATATGCAAAATAAAAGGATTAAACAGCGGGCAATAAAAAGATAAGTATGAATTATTTATTTTGATTTAACTAAAATTCCGGTTTCTTATCAAACAATTTCAAAAATTGTTGATCCATAGAAATCCAGCTTTTTCGAAAACTTTAGAATTTTTTTGTACTTGTAAGAATGGAACATTTAACCGTAGAATATTATCGTACGGGTGCTACTTATTTATCATACGAAGCACTCGAAGAAATTCGACAACTTCGTGGGAGAATTAAAAATGTTTCAAAGGAAATGGCCAAAAAATATCGTATCTCAACATGTCGAGTATATGAAATTGACATAGTCATGCAATGAGAGGCTCAATAAAATGAGAATTGTATGGTTCCAGATAAGCATGTAAAGAAATGGAGGATTGTGCTCAATTTGCTGTGAATTTGATGATTTAAAGAGAGATAACATCAAATGTGGTGTTTAATATTGATGATTTAATTTCTTTCGGATTTTAAGAACTTTTCGTTTAAATGGTATTAAGTTTATGAGTTTTGATCAAAACCAGTTGATCTAAATTGAAATTGACAAACATTTTTATTATTATATTTTATTTTTATTTACCAATTTTTTTTATTTATCATTATAAATGTGAATATGAGCTTTGAATTAGAAATAAATAATGATGGAACCATACAACTCAAAAATTGCATAAATTATTGTTTAACCTTTGCCTTTGGAATATGTTTAAAATATTCACAACTTTATGAATTTTTCATAAAATAGCAACAGACGTATTTACATTCTCTTATCCGATGTGTATATTCCAAAATATAAAGTAAGGCTGTTTAAATAACATAAATTTCTTTACAAGATTTATTTTCAATTAATGGATAATGGCGGTTTCAATTTAAAAAATTTATGTTTTCAATGTAAAGAAAAAAAAGAAAACCCGGAAATTTTTCGGAAAATAAACTTGTCCCTTGATTTTTAGGACATGTCACACGACTACTATGTTGGTCACAACGAAAAAATATTCTTTTGCCATTACTATTATTATTATTAACTATTACTATTATTACTATTACTATCTCTATCTTAACTATCAAACTTTTAAACTTGTAACTACTTTTAATTTGACCATAGATTGTTTAATTGGATTTATCAACTGTACAAACTTTTATTTAAACATCATGTATGCAGCAACCACTTCAAATCATGAGAAACAAGCAGAGTAAGTAGGGAAAATTACATGTCTTTTCGTTTTTTGTGGAAGAAAAGCATTTTTATTAAAAAGAAAGCATCGAAATCTGTAATTTAGAACCCAAACTACCACTGAAAATAGATGGCCACCTGATTTAAGGTAAGTACATCCAGGTTATGATGATAATTATAATTATTATCATAAATATTTCTTTTTCATTGATTATGATTATAATTTTTATTAATAGGGAATACCTGAGAAAAAGTTTTGATGTTGTTTCCCCGGACAATACTGATGCTGTTGAAAGAGAACTTAAAATTTTGATTGAAGAAAAAATTAGAATGAACCAAATGTGGACCACTGATTGGAAAAACATGGAATTACCTCCAAGCTGTTACACACCAAGGTAAATTTGGTTATTGTTAATTAGGTTTTTACATTTGAAAAAAAAAAAATTAAAACCAAATCTCCTATTAATTAGTCCAAATAAAGAGAAAGATAATAAACGAAGAGGGTATATGTTTTTCAGATATAATTTAATAGTTACTGAATATTGTTAATAGATTTTATTTAATCAATTCTAACTCTTCTAGTAGATCACCAGAACAAGATATAGATGACAATGATATTAATGAACTTGACAAAAGAGAGAAACGTGCAAAAAGATTTCAAGCACATGATAGAATGAATAAATTACGCTGGGAACCTAAGGAACCAGTAAAGTTTTTAGAAATTAATAATAACAAATTTTGATTTGTTTTGATTATTTTATAAAAAAAGTTTTTTACAAATGTCATATAGAAATTAGATGATATAAATATGGAACAAACTATTGTTGGAACTTGTCAACAACTTGAAAAGCAATATTTACGTTTAACATCAGTGAGTATTTATTATATATTCAGTAAGACTTTTTGTAAGTATTCAATTGCTAGTCTGTTAGATACACTTAAATTTGTCATTATCAGGCACCAGATCCTTCAACAGTAAGGCCATTACGTGTCCTAAAGAAAACACTTGAAGTTTTAAAAAGTAAATGGACGGGAGGAAATAATTACACATACATTTGTGATCAATTTAAATCTTTACGTCAAGATTTAACGGTTGGCCAATAGTTTTAAATTTTTTTTTTTTTAAAAAAAAAATTAGTTACTTGATAAAAAAAATTTTATATATATATATAATGAATCCAAGGTTCAACGTATCCAAGATGAGTTTACGGTTAGAGTATATGAAACGCATGCTCGTATAGCATTAGAAAAGGTTAATATTATTTGATATTATATATATTTTTGAAATATTTTTAAATTTGTTATATTTTACTTGTGATATTTATTTTCACTAGGGCGATGTGGGTGAGTATAATCAATGTCAAACACAACTAAAGGAACTTTATAGATTAAACATTCCAGGTCAGATAATGGAGTTCATGGCATATAGACTTCTTTACTTTGTATACACAAGAAATCGTTCAGGTTGATATTTGTTTATGTTTATATTACTTATATATTATTACAGATTCTTTTTCAACGTTGTGATTAAATAAAATAATTACAATTATTTAGATATTAATGCATTAATAGCTGAACTTACTGATGAAATGAAAGAAAACAAAGCAATTAAGCATGCATTAGATGTCAGGTCAGCATTGGCTACATCGAATTATCACAAATTCTTTGATTTGTATTTAAAGGCACCTTATATGGGAGCATATTTGATGGACCTTTTTGTTGAAAGAGAAAGAATTTCTGCTTTAAAAATTTTATGCAAATCGTAAGTAGTGTTTATTTTTTTAAAAAAAAATTTTTTTATAAATTTTTTTATCTTTGTGTATTAAATATATTTTTTTAATTCACAGATTTAGACCAAATTTGGATTTAGAGTTTATACGTTCTGAATTAGCCTTTGAAAATAAAGAACAATGTATAAAATTTCTTTCAGATCATAATGCCTCTCAATATATTATATCAAATAGCACATTAGAGACTAAAGGTGCACAAAAACCAATTGAAGAATATAGTAAAAAATTTGAAAAAGTTGATATCAAAGGACAGATTTAAAATTAAGATCACTGCCAATAATAAGTTTATTATTATTTATCTTCATCATTATTGCCAAAAAAAAACGTACAATTTTTTTTCTCTTCCCTTATATATATATATATATATATATATGTATGTATGTATGTATATAGAGGATATATAAAGTGACATTCAATCATCATCATCATATTCATCATCATCATCATCATATCATCATCATCATCATCATCATCATAATGTTCATTAGACAATAACGGTGAATCCAATTCATCAATTAACAATTGGTAGTATTATTTATTCTTGTTGGTTCTGATCTCTGAAATGTAGTTTATTAAACAAATAGACTTTATTCAAATACAATAATAATAATGTTTTTTTTCAACAAAGAAAAGAACAGAAGTTTTATATTAATGTATTTTCTTGGTTTTATTTTAAACAATAAAAATAATTTTTTTTTATCTTTTCTAAATTGTGTATCAAATAGTTTGCCATCTGTAATAAAAAAGGGTTGTAAAAAATATTTTATAGATACATTACTTGCAAAAATACAAATGAATCATAGAATTTATAATCCTGAATATAATTAAATATTATTATCATAACATTCATAATTCCTTACACTTTAAAAAATAATATCTTTAGATAAGATTAATTAATTGCTTAAAAACCAGAGATCAATTGAATCAATTAATTTTTCCAGGTTATAATCTTGATTATATTTGTAAATGTTTACGAAATGAATCTTGTTCAAATTCCAATAGTACTGTTGATAACAAGTAAACCTTATTACACTAAATCTGGAAGATCTAAATCCTCTCTATAGCTAATTGTGGCTTCATAGAAAGTCATCATTGCTGCTGCTGCTGCCATCAGCTAGACATATCCTGCCACAGTTAAAAATGGCAACAGAGAGGTCAGTAAGTCCCCTTATAAATGGATCAGATCTCTCTCCATAAGTGTTTGTGCGCAAAAAAGTGTTCCTTATGTTACAGGCAGCATTAACATCTCAATTCCAATGTGTCAGACAGATTGATTTGCAGATTCTGACAGACCAGGATTTTTGATGCTTATCAAACCACCCATCATACAAAGAACAGACTGAGGAAGTAAAGAACTCATCAATGTTCGCCACCTTGCAGTGTCTAGAAGCATGCCATGTGTTGTTGATGAGAATTTACCATCACCAAATGCAACAACTGTATTAGGCAAAAGGTATATAAGAGTAGAGACAAAATAGGGGTCCTGGCACAGGTGTGGTCATTTTTTCATTCTAGGTCACATTCGATTAGTTGTAGCATATCATTTTTTTATATCTATTTTCTGTTTTTGGCCACATTGATGTGGCGTGATTCAAATTTTTGGCAGTTTTTATTTGGCAAATTATCTTTATTATCAATCATTATTGCTTTTTCTGAAGAATGAGTGCATGAAAAAAAAATTCACAATACCCCACAACAAATTGTATATTTGATTGTTAATTTTATGTGACTCACTCCCAGGAAAATGGATATATGATAATAATATTTTTCCTCAAAATTGCTTGGTATAATTCTTAATTTTATCCTTGAATTAACATAAAAAATTTGCATATGGAAATTCCGTATGAATTATAATTTTTACTGCCATGAAATGATTATTAGTACAGTACTGAATGTCTACTGACTGAAAATTCTCTGAAATTTATGGGGGTTTGTTTACAGTAACAAAAAATTCTTTCCCAAAAAATTAGTTGATTTTTTGTTAGCTAGCTCCTTTATAATGGTTTGAAATTTGTAAAACCTCAGATTTCTAAAAGGAGTATTCAAAAGAAAAAAATCAGCAAATCATTACCATTTCTAAAAACTCTCTAAAAAAGGATAACGCAGCATAAATAAGTGGCTAATTATTTTTTATTTTATTTATAAAATAAAAATGGAAGAAGAAATTGAAATAGTGACAGATAAAAATGAAGTATCAGAAAATAATACTAAAAATCCAACTACAAATTATATAAGCATTGATGATATTGAAAAGCAAACTATAATTAATACACTTAATGGACATCACATTGATGAAATAAAGTTTAGTCCTAATTGTAGGTTTTTAGTAACTCTTAGTAAACAAGACAAATCTATTGCTGGATGGACAATTAATCCTGATGAAGGAACAATTCAACAAGATAGCCAGGATAATTATTTTAAAACTAGTTATGTGGAAAAGGCACATATAATAGATGTTTCAGATGATAAATATATACTTCTTCTTGTATGGAATGGTTATTACAGTAAGTAAAAATATGATTATTTATTGTGTATTATATTATTTATAAGCAATAAATAATAATAAAAATTTTCATCATTTAAAACTAATTTTATAGGATCACAATTACTTGACTTTTCAAAAAAACAAACATATGATTGTCCAATTGATAGTGACTTCAAGGGTTTCATTACAAATAATGATTTTATAACAATAAAACAGAATCATTTATACAAATTTTCATATAGAAATGATAAATTAGTTCATAAATCAAAATATCAAACTTATGATTATTCTCGTAACATAAATACACATTATTTTGTAAATTCTGATTATTTTCTATTAAGTGATAAATATTCATTATTATCACAATGGAAATTGAAACCAACAACTATATCATATCAAGATAGTTATTATTTAATATGTAGAAAAGATCATACTGATATAATATTAAATCAAGACAAAACAATAATGGCATTATATTATAAAGATAATTCAAAAATAATAGTTTACTCAATAAAACATAATATTACTATTTCTTCATGTAAGTATTATTTAGCTTTGTTTGTTTGTTTGTTTGTTTGTTTGTTTGTTTGTTTATTTGTTTATATATTATATATTTTTATTTTTTATTTTTTATTTTACAGTTAAATTGGAAAAAGATATCACTATCAAAAAATTGGATTTTATTTATATAAAAAGTCAATTGGAATGTTTATTAATATTATACCATACAAGTACAAATAATTACATTTGTAAATTAATAGATCCTTATAATTTGGATAACTTTATAGAAAATACATATGAAGATAAAAATGATATCATATTTGGACCAACCATATCAGATAATAAAATAGTTATGGCTATTAGCAATCAAATTTACATTAAAGAAATTATTAACAAAGAAAAATTAAATGCTTTTCAACAAATACATATAAAAAATAGCTATTATTTATATTTATATATAGGACAGACATTAAGTGAAATATACAATAACAAAGAAATTAATTATGAGGATAATGAATTTGATATTGAAACAGGGAAAGCTATTAAATGGTCAGTAGAGTATAATGAATATTTTCGAAATATCAGTATAAAAGCTCAAAAAATTGATAACAAAATAAATTCTCAATTTCCAACAATTGATAATGAGACAAAAGAAGAATTTTCAACAATTGATGAATATGGTCTTCAGACTTGGGAAAAGTTTAAATGTTGTAGATTACTAAATAATAATGATTTAATTTTAATAACAAATGAATATATACACATTTTGACATTTGATAATCAAAATTCTAAAATATTCACAAAGCATATTATTAAAGAAAAATGTCATAATTATAGTAATGGAGGAGGAGAACATTTGATTGAAAATGAAAATGAAATATCAAGAAAAATCAAAATGGCCATAGAAAATAATAATATTGAAGGCTATTTATTTAATTTTAATGATGTTACTGAAGATGATTATTCATATATTGATAAACATCAAATTTCCAGACAACCTTATAAAGAAATGATTTTATACATGTTGGGTGATTTATATAATTTCAAACACAGAGAAAAATTTTTAAGATTGGCATTAAAAGTAAATGATGGCATAGTTGTAGAAGAATTATTTAATTCCTGTCTTAAATATTTTCAAGAGGATACTGCAACAAATATTAGTTTATTAAAAATAATTATATCAGAATTACCAATATTACAAAAAAATTATCAAAAATTATCAAAATTCTCCAATCAAACTTCAATGATATTATTTCCATTCAGTGATAACATTTTTAATGAAATTATTGTTTATAGTGCAATGGCTAATGAAAACCTTATTTATAAAGATAAAAGCTTTTGGGGTTTGTTGTTTAAATTTGGAATGCGTGGAGTGCTTGGAATATATGTAATATTTGCACAAGTTGTAATATTTGGAATAACTGTAATATTTACACTATTTGGAATAAGAGAACCATATGAAATAGTTGTAACACTTGGAATATTTGGAGTATTTGCAATATCTGGAGTATTTAGAATATTTGGGCTTTTATACAAAAATTACAATAAAGATAATGCTAAACCTTGTGTAAAATTGATAATTCCATATCCAGGATTACTTACCTACAAACCCAAATATTCATTATTGAAAGAATTATTATATAAGCCAGATAATAGTATATTTGTTGAATTAGTTGAATTGGATACTTTAGAATTATACAAGCATTTGAATATTGAACTAATTTTGGATTATAAATGGAACACTTTTGGACTCGGATATTATATTGAAATATTGTTTTTTTATATAGTATTTTTATTAAGCTTTGTTACTGCAACTTCTACTTCACCAGGTGGGTTATCTGATGATATTAGATATTCATTATTAACAATAACAATTGTCCTTGGAGCAATTCATCTCACAGTAGAAGTTAGACAATTTATCTGGAAGCCATTGAAATATATCACAGATTTCTGGAATTACTTTGGTGTGATGTTATTTTATTATTATTTGTTATAATTAAATTAATTTTTAATAATAATATTATTATTTATTTAATTAATAGACCTAGGTGCCTATTCCTTAGCAATTGTTACTTCAATTCTATGGCTGTATTATAATAAACCACCACCTATTCAACTGATTTCTGCATCAAATTTATTGTTAGATTTAAGATTAATGTTATTTTTAAGAGTTTTTAAAAATTTTGGAGCATATTTTGCCATTATTATAGGGGTTGCTAAAAAAGTCTTTTGGTTTTTAATTATAATATTAATAATAATTTTAAGCTTTTCAC